CTCGGCTACGACTCGAGTTGCGCGATTTCGACGTTGGCCATTCGGCCGAGCGAGCGATGGCCTCGGGTGTGGAGCCCGGGGGGGGGGGGGGGTGTTGGGCAAGAGTCGAGCGACACGTGGCGTGGACGACGAGCTCTTCTCGCCACGCGAGTTTCACGGGCAGATGAGGCCAGGATATTGCCGCCAGTTCAGTGTCTCGGAGATTACGAGTCCCTTCAGAGGTATAGAGACAGAGAGAGACAGAGAGAGACATAGAGAGATAGATAGACTGAGAGAGAGACATAGAGAGACACAGAGAGATAGAGAGAGACAGAGAGAGAGAGACAGGGAGACAGAGAGAGAGAGAGAAAAAGAGACAGAGAGAGAGGCAGATAGAGAGACGATGTAAGAGACATCCAGACGCAGATTCAGGATCTCAACTGCACAGTTACCAACCTGGAGATTCAGGATCTCAACTGCACAGTTACCAACTTGGAGATTCAGGGTCTCAACTGCACAGTTACCAACCTGGAGATTCAGGGTCTCAACTGCACAGTTACCAACCTGGTCATTCAGGGTCTCAACTGCACAGTTACCAACCTGGAGATTCAGGGTCTCAACTGCACAGTTACCAACCTGGAGATTCAGGGTCTCAACTGCACAGTTACCAACCTGGAGATTCAGGGTCTCAACTGCACAGTTACCAACCTGGTCATTCAGGGTCTCAACTGCACAGTTACCAACCTGGAGATTCAGGGTCTCAACTGCACAGTTACCAACCTGGAGATTCAGGATCTCAACTGCACAGTTACCAACCTGGTCATTCAGGATCTCAACTGCACAGTTACCAACCTGGTCATTCAGGGTCTCAACTGCACAGTTACCAACCTGGAGATTCAGGATCTCAACTGCACAGTTACCAACCTGGAGATTCAGGATCTCAACTGCACAGTTACCAACCTGGAGATTCAGGATCTCAACTGCACAGTTACCAACCTGGTCATTCAGGATCTCAACTGCACAGTTACCAACCTGGTCATTCAGGGTCTCAACTGCACAGTTACCAACCTGGAGATTCAGGATCTCAACTGCACAGTTACCAACCTGGAGATTCAGGATCTCAACTGCACAGTTACCAACCTGGAGATTCAGGATCTCAACTGCACAGTTACCAACCTGGTCATTCAGGATCTCAACTGCACAGTTACCAACCTGGAGATTCAGGGTCTCAACTGCACAGTTACCAACCTGGAGATTCAGGATCTCAACTGCACAGTTACCAACCTGGTCATTCAGGATCTCAATTGCACAGTTACCAACCTGGTCATTCAAGATCTCAACTGCACAGTTACCAACCTGGAGATTCAGGGTCTCAACTGCACAGTTACCAACCTGGAGATTCAGGATCTCAACTGCACAGTTACCAACCTGGTCATTCAGGATCTCAACTGCACGGTTACCAACCTGGTCATTCAGGGTCTCAACTGCATAGTTACCAACCTGGAGATTCAGGATCTCAACTGCACAGTTACCAACCTGGAGATTCAGGGTCTCAACTGCACAGTTACCAACCTGGAGATTCAGGATCTCAACTGCACAGTTACCAACCTGGTCATTCAGGATCTCAACTGCACAGTTACCAACCTGGAGATTCAGGATCTCAACTGCACAGTTACCAACCTGGAGATTCAGGGTCTCAACTGCACAGTTACCAACCTGGAGATTCAGGATCTCAACTGCACAGTTACCAACCTGGTCATTCAGGATCTCAACTGCACAGTTACCAACCTGTAGATTCAGGATCTCAACTGCACAGTTACCAACCTGGAGATTCAGGATCTCAACTGCACAGTTACCAACCTGGAGATTCAGGATCTCAACTGCACAGTTACCAACCTGGAGATTCAGGGTTTCAACTGCACAGTTACCAACCTGGAGATTCAGGATCTCAACTGCACAGTTACCAACCTGGTCATTCAGGATCTCAACTGCACAGTTACCAACCTGGAGATTCAGGATCTCAACTGCACAGTTACCAACCTGGAGATTCAGGATTTCAACTGCACAGTTACCAACCTGGAGATTCAGGGTCTCAACTGCACAGTTACGAACCTGGAGATTCAGGATCTCAACTGCACAGTTACCAACCTGGTCATTCAGGATCTCAACTGCACATTAACCAACCTGTAGATTCAGGATCTCAACTGCACAGTTACCAACCTGGAGATTCAGGATCTCAACTGCACAGTTACCAACCTGGAGATTCAGGATCTCAACTGCACAGTTACCAACCTGGAGATTCAGGATCTCAACTGCACAGTTACCAACCTGGAGATTCAGGGTCTCAACTGCACAGTTACCAACCTGGAGATTCAGGGTCTCAACTGCACAGTTACCAACCTGGAGATTCAGGATCTCAACTGCATAGTTACCAACCTGGAGATTCAGGTCTCAACTGCACAGTTACCAACCTGGAGATTCAGGATCTCAACTGCACAGTTACCAACCTGGAGATTCAGGATCTCAACTGCACAGTTACCAACCTGGAGATTCAGGGTCTCAACTGCACAGTTACCAACCTGGAGATTCAGGGTCTCAACTGCACAGTTACCAACCTGGAGATTCAGGATCTCAACTGCACAGTTACCAACCTGGAGATTCAGGATCTCAACTGCACAGTTACCAACCTGGAGATTCAGGATCTCAACTGCACAGTTACCAACCTGGAGATTCAGGATCTCAACTGCACAGTTACCAACCTGGAGATTCAGGATCTCAACTGCACAGTTACCAACCTGGAGATTCAGGGTCTCAACTGCACAGTTACCAACCTGGAGATTCAGGATCTCAACTGCACAGTTACCAACCTGGAGATTCAGGATCTCAACTGCACAGTTACCAACCTGGTCATTCAGGATCTCAACTGCACAGTTACCAACCTGGAGATTCAGGATCTCAACTGCACAGTTACCAACCTGGAGATTCAGGATCTCAACTGCACAATTACCAACCTGGAGATTCAGGGTCTCAACTGCACAGTTACCAACCTGGAGATTCAGGTCTCAACTGCACAGTTACTATCCTCCCACCGTCGACACGGACATCGTCAATCCCCACCCGCGCCGTCTCATCCCCATTGTGAACCCCCAACTTTGCTGGTGACCCCAAATGAGTTGAGGGGGGGGGGGCCTCAATGCCAATGGAACAACCCATTAGGTGGGATCCTTGAGGAGGTGGAAGGAAGGACCCCCTTAAGGGGGTCACAGCGTGGTGCTCCCCACGTCGTCTTCAAAGGGGGTCCCGGGACCCCCCTCGGGGAGCTGCGGCGCCACCTCCTTCTTCATCTCCTCGCGGTTCTGGCGGGCATAGCAGATGATGTATCCGATGACCACGGAGAACCACCCCAACATGGTGACCAGCATGGCCACGTCCGTGGTCTTGGCAGGTGGGCCGCACATCATCATCATGGTCATCATCATCATGGTCGCGTCGTCGTCGGCGGCGTGGTCGTGAGCGCCTTCACCGAGATCGCCAGCGCCACGCTCAACATCGCCACCACCAAAGCCAACACGGGCAACCATTCCTCCACCACCACCTCCACCGCCGTCCTCTCGAACTCCTACCCCAGAGTCGCCCCCGCGCCCCGCGTGCTCCCCCCTCTCGGCCGTCTCGCAGCTCACCCCGGGCCCGAGCACCGTGACGCGAGACAGCGCCGCCGCGAGCTCGCAGTCGCAGTGCCACGGGTTGCCGTGCAGGAACATTCCCACGGCGGGGCCGAGTCCGGCGAGCGACGCGGGGCGCAGCGAGCGCAGGCGGTTCGCCGACAGGTCGAGGAGCTCGAGGGAGCGCGCCGCGCCGTCGAAGGCGCCCGGGGAGATGGCCTCGAGTCGGTTGCCCGACAGGTCGAGCTCGCGGAGGGCGGGCAGGTGGCGCAGGACGGCGGGCGGCAGCGACGCGATGAGGTTGGCGTCGAGGAGGAGGCGCGAGGTGGCCGCCGGGAGGTCCTCGGGCACGGACGAGAAGCCGGCGCCGCTGCACTTCACGTGGATGCCCGCCACGTCCACCACGTGGACGGGCGAGACGCCCACGCCGGCCACGCCGCCCACGCTGCTGCTGCTGCTGCTGCCCGCGCTGTGAGTGCCGCTGCTGCTGCACGAGCAGCTGGTGGGGCACGTGAAGGTTGGACGGATGGCCCAGCAGAGGATGGGTGGGCCGACGTGCGGGTGCAGCAGTTGCAGCAGTAGGAGGAGGAGCAGCGGGTGGTGGCGGTGGTGGTGAAGAGCAGGAGGTTGCAGGTGTGAGACACGAGGAGACGCGGAGGGGTGGTCACGCATTGTGTGCGATGAGCGGCACGTGCGTCTGTGTGCGGGCGCGAGGAGGATCGCGAGACTTTAAGGCTAGACGGGGGAGCTTTGCCTTTGCCGTGTGTATGTATATGCGTGTGTGTATGTGTGTGTGTATATGTGTGTGTATCTGTATCTGCGTGTGTGTGTATGTGTGTGTATGTGTGTGTGTATGTATATATGTGTGTGTATCTGTGTGTGTGTATGTGTGTGTATGTGTGTGTGTATCTGCGTGTGTGTGTATGTGTGTGTGTATGTGTGTGTGTATGTATATGCGTGTGTGTGTATCTGCGTGTGTGTGTGTATGTGTGTGTGTATGTGTAACAGCACTTGCCCCGACAAGTCTGTTCAGGCTATACGGGGGATATTTGTCTTGGTAGATGTGTGTGCGCGTAAAACAACGTTTGAGTTAATAGTCTGCGGATGGCTAATCCACTGCTGGATGAAGGAGTCCCTGCGCTGCACGTCTTTACCCGTGCCGCCGGTGGTTTGGCAGGAGATATGCTTCGCCACGCCGGCGAGGTCTGGGAAGGGGCTGGAGGGAAGGGGGGTGTAGGGGGGGTGAGGCATGACCGGTTCAGATATCATTGGCCACGGGCATTAGCCGTGGCCAGGAATCGAACCTTCGCGCTCCGGGTTCATAGCGCAATGCGCTTACCACTGAACCACCGCTCCAAACGATACGCGTGTGTCTACGGGGCTATATACTGTGCCGTGTGTGTGTATGGGATTGTGCATTGTAGTGCGTGTGTGTGGACTGTCTCTGTGCGTGTGGGATTCGATACTGTCTGCATGGGTGTGTGTACTGCTCGCGTGAGCGCCTGTGGACTGTGGAAGTGTGGACATTGCGTGTGTGTGGGATTGTACTGTCGATCTGTCACTGTGTATATGGTTGTGTCACTGTGTGTGTATGTCGGTGTGTGTCTGTGGTTGTGTAACTGTGTGTGTATGTCGGTGTTTGTCTGTGGTTGTGTCACTGTGTGTGTATGTCGGTGTGTGTGTGTGGTTGTGTCACTGTGTGTGTATGCCGGTGTGTGTGGTTGTCACTGTGTGTGTATGTCGGTGTGTGTGTGTGGTTGTGTCACTGTGTGTGTATGTCGGTGTGTGTGGTTGTCACTGTGTGTGTATGTCGGTATGTGTTTGCGCTTGTGTCACTGTGTGTGTATGTCGGTGTGTGTGTGGTTGTGTGTGGTTGTATCACTGTGTATGTATGTCGGTGTGTGTGGTTGTGTCACTGTGTGTGTATGTCGGTGTGTGTGTGTGGTTGTGTCACTGTGCGTATGTCGGTGTGTGTGTGGTTGTGTCACTGTGTGTGTATGTCGGTGTGTGTGTGTGGTTGTGTCACTGTGCGTATGTCGGTGTGTGTGTGTGGTTGTGTCACTGTGTGTGTATGTCGGTGTGTGTGGTTGTGTCACTGTGTGCGTATGTCGGTGTGTGTGTGTGGTTGTGTCACAGTGTGTGTATGCCGGTGTGTGTGTGGTTGTGTTACTGTGTGCGTATGCCGGTGTGTGTGTGTGTGTTTGTGTCACTGTGTGTGTATGTCGGTTGTGTGTGTGTGGTTGTGTCACTGTGTGCGTATGTCGGTGTGTGTGTGTGGTTGTGTCACTGTGTGTGTATGTCGGTGTGTGTGTATGTTGGTGTGTGTGGTTGTCACTGTGTGTGTATGTCGGTGTGTGTGGTTGTGTCACTGTGTGTGTATGCCGGTGTGTGTGTGGTTGTGTTACTGTGTGCGTATGCCGGTGTGTGTGTGTGTGGTTGTGTCATTGTGTGTGTATGTCGGTGTGTGTGTGTGGTTGTGTCACTGTGTGCGTATGTCGGTGTGTGTGTGTGTGTCACTGTGTGTGTATGTCGGTGTGTGTGTGTGGTTGTGTCACTATGTGTGTATGTAGGTGTGTGTGGTTGTGTCACTGTGTGTATGTCGGTGTGTGTGTGGTTGTGTCACTGTGTGCGTATGTCGGTGTGTGTGTGTGGTTGTGTCACTGTATGTGTATGTCGGTGTGTGTGTGTGGTTGTGTCACTGTGTGTGTATGTCGGTCTGTGTGTGGTTGTGTCACTGTGTGTATGTCGGTTGTGTGTGGTTGTGTAACTGTGTGTGTATGTCGGTTGTGTGTGTGTGGTTGTGTCACTGTGTGTGTATGTCGGTGTGTGTGTGGTTGTGTCACTGTGTGTATGTCGGTGTATGTGGTTGTGTCACTGTGTGTGTATGTCGATGTGTGTGGTTGTGTCACTGTGTGTGTATGTCGATGTGTGTGTGTGGTTGTATCACTGTGTGTGTATGTCGGTGTGTGTGGTTGTGTCACTGTGTGTGTATGTCGGTGTGTGTGTATGTCGGTGTGTGTGGTTGTGTCACTGTGTGTGTATGTTGGTGTGTGTGTATGTCGGTGTGTGTGGTTGTCACTGTGTGTGTATGTCGGTGTGTGTGTTGTGTCACTGTGTGTATGTCGTGTGTGTGTGATTGTGTCACTGTGTGTGTATGTCGGTGTGTGTGTATGTCGGTGTGTGTGGTTGTCACTGTGTGTGTATGTCGGTGTGTGTGTATGTCGGTGTGTGTGGTTGTCACTGTGTGTGTATGTCGGTGTGTGTGGTTGTGTCACTGTGTGTGTATGTCGGTGTGTGTGGTTGTATCACTGTGTGTGTATGTCGGTGTGTATGTCGGTGTGTGGTTGTGTCACTGTGTGTGTATGTCGGTGTGTGTGTATGTCGGTGTGTGTGGTTGTCACTGTGTGTGTATGTCGGTGTGTGTGTATGTCGGTGTGTGTGGTTGTCACTGTGTGTGTATGTCGGTGTGTGTGGTTGTGTCACTGTGTGTGTATGTCGGTGTGTGTGGTTGTCACTGTGTGTGTATGTCGGTGTGTGTGGTTGTGTCACTGTGTGTGTATGTCGGTGTGTGTGGTTGTGTTACTATGTGTGTTTGTCGGTGTGTGTGTGTCAATGCAAGCTGATAGGCATACGTACCTTGGCCAGCGCCAACAAACCACGCAACACCACAACACGCGCCAACATCACCAACCACACATCACCCACCCCACATCACCCACCCCACATCACCCACATCACATCACCCGCATCACATCACTCACCCACATCACATCACTCACCCACATCACATCACCAACCACATCACATCACCAACCACACATCACCCACATCACCCACATCACATCACTCACCCCACATCACTCACCCACATCACCAACCACGCATCACATCACCCACATCACATCACCCACCCACATCACATCACTCACCCGACATCACCCACCCACATCACATCACCCTCGCCACGCCTTGGCTTCATCGCCCACCAGCTGCGCGTTCCGTCTCGCACAGGCGGGAGAACGTGTGTGTGTGTACGTGTGTGTGTGTACGTGTGGGTGTGTGTACGTGTGTGTACGTGTGGGTGTGTGTACGTGTGTGTGTGTACGTGTGGGTGTGTGTACGTGCGTGTGTACGTGTGTGCACGTGTGTGTGTACGTGTGTGTGTACGTGTGTGTACTTGTGTGTACGTGTGTGTACGTGTGTGTGTGTACGTGTGTGTGTGTACGTGCGTATGTGTGTGTACGTGTGTGTGTGTGTACGTGTGTGTGTACGTGTGTGTGTGTGTACGTGCGTATGTGTGTGTACGTGTGTGTGTGTACGTGTATGTGTGTGTGTGTACGCGTGTGTGTACGTGCGTGTGTGTACGTGTGTGTGTGTACGTGTGTGTGCGTGTGTGTGTGTACGTGTGTGTGTACACGTGCGTCTGTGTGTGGGGGGAGAGGGGGTGCGCAGTGGTTAGCGCTACGCTGCGCTACAAACCCGGCGAATCGAGTTCGATTCACGCTCACGTGTGTAGCGTCGGAAACGCGTCTGCACTATGCACACACCGCCTGTCCACCCACCTGCAGTAACGGCCAGAGGTCTGTAGGGGGTGCCAGCCTGTACAAGGGGATAGAGAGAGAGAGAGCCGGACCATAGAGAGGCTGGGTTCCCCTCCCCTACCCCAGGTGAGGGGCTGGGGGCGCCTTTCCAGGATCCTCTGGAGGATTCCAGAAAGGGGGCGGTACCGGGGGTGGAGAGTCCCCGGGACAGGTATAAAAGGCGGCTCTCAGGTCGGCTCGAGGCAGTGCTACGAAGACCAGCTCGGCTAGGACCCTGCGACCCCGGGACCCGACGTCCTTGTAAGGGCCGGGTCCGAGTACGGACCAGTGGTCGGGACCCGCACCTTGGCTGGGTCGGGTCAGTCAGTCTCCCCGAGGGCACCCCTCGCCAGAGGGCTCTAGTTACCCCGAGTGATAGGGCACGCTAGCCCGGAGGCTGTACCTCCATAGAGAGCGGGGTACTGTGTTACGTTGTTATAAATAAAAGTGTTGCCTCCAAGTTACCTCGCAAGTCTCCTGAAACCCACTACATTTGGTGCCAGAAGTGGCCATGGAGACACGCGACGACACTGTGCCGGAGGCAGGGGTCTCGGCGACACTGGCCACGAGCGAAGAGCCGCTGCCGGCTGCACAGCTGCCCATGCCGCCGCCTCACCTCCAGCTCGCCGCTCGCTGCAGGAGGCGCATTGCCACCTCGTGGAGCTGCTCAGCCCCGCCGCCACCATCCTCGGCAACATCCTCCGCGGGGAGGTGGCACCAGGGGTGAAGGGTGCGGCGCGGGAACCAACCGACGCCGCCGCCATCACACCTCCAACTGCCGCCAACATTTTTTTAAACTCCCGCCGCCGCGGGTGGCGCTTCCGCCGGCGCCGCAGTGCACCACGGGGCGAACATCACATCCGGGCCGGACGGTGGCCAATCCGCTGCCGTCCAGTCATCATCGGAGCAACAGCACGTACAACAGCGCCTGCCACCACTACAAGATTTCTCGGCTGCCGGGGGCGACTGGGCGGCCTTCCAACGCCGGTTCGACTCCCACCGGGAGATGACCGGCTGGTCGGAGGCTGAGGCAGGGACCAGGAGGCCATTGATGCTCTCGTCTTGCAGAAGCTCCTGAGCCTGGCTGGTTCTCGCTGGGCTCCAGTGGGAGACCTGTTTGATTTATTTGGACGATGTAATTGTTTTTAGCCGGTCCTTCGAGGAGCACATGGAGAGGTTGCGCGCCGTTTTTGAAAAGATGCGTGCGGCTCGCCTTAAATTTAAACTTGCAAAAATGTTTCTTGCTACGGACCTCCATCCGGTATCTCGGCCACATTGTGAGCCGCTTGGGCATTGCTACTGATCCCACCAAAACGAGCTGCCTGCGCTCATGGCCGGTTCCTACATCGGTGGGGGACGTGCGTAGCTTCGTAGGATTTGCTTCCTACTACCGACGGTTCGTAACGCGCTTTGCGTCCATCGCCAAGCCGCTCCACACTCTTACGGCTAAAGGGGCGAAATTCCTGTGGGGCACCGCAGAGCAGGCCGCGTTTGACTCCCTTCGTGACGGTCTAGTCCATGCCCCTCCCCTGAGTTATCCTGATTTCTCGGTGCTGTTCCTTCCGAACACGGACGCCAGCAATACAGGCATAGGGGGTGTATTGTCCCAGATCGTCGATGGCGTCGAGCGGGTAGTCACCTACGGCAGTAGGGTGTTGTCGCCCGCTGAACAGCGCTACTGCGTCACCCGTCGAGAGCTGCTGGCTATTGTGTTCCATGGTAACGCCGATGCGCTTTCACGTATGTACGGTCTGGTCGGGCCAGTTGTAAACAGGCCGT